CCCTTACATTCTTTACTGAGAATAGATTTAACCCAGAGGCTATGCTCCCGGAAGGAAGTAATGGGCTGATAATCTCAGAAGAATGGACAGATCCTCCGAAGTTCCTCCCTGACACCAGAAAGACCATGGAGGCTATGAGGAATGTAGCACTCTCCATGATGCCCAATAGCACCTTTCCTGTTCCATCCAGGTTTTCCGGAAAACCTCAGGGCATCAACCCCAAGATGGATTCACAGTCTGTGAGGCACCAGCTTGCTGTGACTCCCCTTTGCCTGGCAAAGCAATAAAGCTGCTCTTTTTGAATTCTTCCCAAACTCTGCCTCCAAGTCACAAATGGTCTTTTGGGGTATAGAGGCCGGCTTTGTGGCAACAGCTAGGCCTGAATCCTGTGCCCATGACTGTGTCTGAGAGACCATGGGTGGAAGGGGCTGTTGAGCAAGAGAGTGGGAGCAAGGTTTCCAGAAAGGGGGAGAGGAGACACGAGCTACTACTCTTCTCTCCACGTAAAAGGCAGCAGGTCAAAAGCTGAGCCTTCGCGTGAGCTCAGAAAGCAAGCAAATTTGGAAGGTAGCTGCCCAAAGTTCAGGTAAACAGTCAGAAATGAAAAGACCTGTGGGAAGAGGGCAGGAGAATAGCTCGTATCAAAGTAAGTTTAGCGAGTGTGTACTGAGAGCTGTGCCAGCCAGGACGCTTTCCCTTACAGATAACAACCAATCTCCTCAACAAGTTGAAACAATAGAAAGGCTCAGGGTACATTCGGCAGCTTGATGGAGTCTTCCAGGACCAGGGCTGCCTCCCCGCTCTGCGGTCTCGGCATTCCGGTTCTGCCCAGGCTGGGCCCCTCCAGGTCTCAGGGCAGCTGCAGTGGCTGGACCACAGCTGGCTTCTCCTCGAGTCCCTCCTCCCTTTTTGAAAATGGTGGTAAAATGCACATAGCATGAAGTTTACCACCTGTCCCATCTGGTGGTGGTGTTCTTTTTTTAAAACAATTTTTATTGTTATACAATTTTACAAGTTCACCTTCCATTTATAGTTACTGCAAAATTTTGACTGTATTTTCCATGTTGTATAATACATCCTTCAGCCTGTCTTACATTCAATAGTTTATACCTTCCGTTCTTGTCTCTGTGTTGCCTCCCCCCACCACTGGTAGCCACTAGTTTGCTCTCTACATCTGTGAGTCTGCTTCTTTTGTGTTATATTCACTAGTTGGTTGTATTTTTTAGATTCTGCCTATAAGTGATATCATATAGTATTTATCTTTCTCTGTCTGACTTACTTCACATAGCATAATGCCCCCTAAGTCTATCCATGTTGCTGCAAATGGCAAAATTTCATTCTTTTTAATGGCTGAGTAGTATTCCACTGTGTGTGTGTGTGTGTGTGTGTGTGTGTGTGTGTGTGTGTGTGTGTATCTCACATCTTCTTTATCCAGTCATCTGTTGATGGATATTTAGGTTGTTTTCATGTCTTGGCTATTATAAATATAGCTGCTGTGAATACTAGGGTGCATGTATCTTTTCAAACTAGTTTTTGGTTTTTTTGGTGTATATACCCAGGAGCTGAATTGCTAGGTCATATGATAGTTCTGTTTTTATAGTTTTTTGAGAAACCTCCTTACTGTTTCCTACAGTGGCTGCACCAACTTACATTCCCACCAACTGTGTGCAAGTGTTCCCTTTTCTCTATTTCCTTGCCAACATTTGCTATTTGTGGACTTTGATGGTAGCCATTCTGATGAGTGTGAGATATCTCATGGTGGTTTTGAGTTGCACTTCCCTGATGACTAGC